AAAAAAAAAAAAAAAAAAAAAAAAAAAAAAAAAAAAAAAAAAAAAAACCAATGCCGAAACAGAAAAGAGAGGCTCTAGCTTGGCCTCTGGGAAACTGCAATCCTATTGGAACAGAAAGAGAGATCCGTGTTTACATTTGTTGAGTTTGAGACCTAGGTATGTATATATTGGCACATTTATACTCGATATACAGAATATTCCACGTTGCAAAGATCGGAGGCGAAATGTGGGCTCTGAAATCCACCAGAGACCGAGCATACCCAACCTGCAGGAAATCTCATGGCCGTAGATCTCCCGGGTAAGAAAAATTGTCAACCTTCCATGAAACGCCATTCCCGGGGACGATCGTGAACGCCAACCGAGAGCCTCTCCGAAGCCACGCCGGCAAGAGCCGACGCAGGCGACACTAAGGCGTCCACGACCAGCCAGGTGGATCCTTGCGCGCTGTCACATCTGGACTGGAGCCGCCTTGCATGAGAGGAGCGACTAATCGGCCGCGAATCGTAGCGGAGTGTGGTCTAGCGGTTGCATCTGCAAATCGAGAGAAGGCTGTGCCAGGTCGATCAACCGGGATCCAGCATAGGATGGAGCCACATATTGTTGATGATCAACTGATCGTTGCTGAGATGAACCTTTTCGGGTAGAAGATGTGCGGCTACACACGCGGTGGAGTGATGAACGCGATCGAATTGACGACTTTATTTCGGGAGCCAAGGTCTAGGGAATGGGTCAGTCTACTGCATAGAATGTATAGAATGTACAATATTGGAGAAATGCTGTGCTTGTCGTTCACTAGACACAGCTCGGGCAGAGGTATGCAGTCCCCAAGAATGTGACTCGGCTCCCTCTCGCATGTCTAAGACTTGCCGCCCTTTTCTTTTTTCTTTTCCTTTCGCTTCTTTTTCCCCCTTCTATTTATTTTTTACTTATTCATTTTTTTTAATTTTGAGAGCACTGCAGGTCTATAGACGAACTTGCTACTAAATACGGGGGAAATGCGGACCAGATCGTAATATTAAATTCCATGCTCAGGTGCGCCAGTCTAAGCTGCACCAAGGAGGTTCAGCTCTCCGAACATTCCTATTCCTATGCATACATAGATGGAGCCTCTACGGAGTATGGTACTCGGTGCATATCTTTAAACCATATTATTATTAGTTTGCGGCAGATCAGCTCTGTCAAGTTTTTTATATCTTTACCTCTTTAGTTATGTACGGGGTACGGACAGACTACAGTGACAGACATCGATCGACAGGGCCTCCCCTCTCCCCTACATAAGCACACGTCCGTGCAGAAGGCAACGAAAGAGACTCCATTGATTGGATAAGACATCTGGACCGAAGCGAGAAACTCGCGTGGAGTCGAGACCTGGCATTTCGCCACCCAAATACCTCCAAGGGAAACCCGAGGGAGTGGATGCTGGAGGCGATTGGCTTTCGGGGGAAAGAAAAACGGGTAAAGTCGTTGAGTTGACCTTTTAAGGTCCGAGCCAAAGTCACAAAAGTGAAAAAGAAAGACAAACGAGAGGAGCTACCATGGCCGGTGAACTCCGGGGGCCAATCAAATCGACCCTCTGCTTTTGCTATTGGGGGCCAAAAAGGGAAAAGAAGGAAGAGCAGATGACCATACTCCGCAGACCAGACACACCTACATATGTACTCCATAGGTACAGAGTAGATTAGAGTCTCTAAGAGGCACGGAGCATATGGTCTACAATATACATACGGTCTGAGTATGGATATGGAAAGGGAATATGCTAAAAGACAAAATAAAAAGAAGACTGAATTGCGCCATGCTTTTAACGAATGGCCAGCGAGACAGCTCGCTTGCCTCTGCCTTTTCGACGGTCTCGTATTCTGGCCATTCCGGTCTTGTCCGTGCGTTGACATCTTGGTCTTCTTATTGGATAGGAATCCTACCATGATAGTAGAAAAGTATGGATCCATTTCACTTATATTTCTTTTTCTTTTTCCTTTTTTTTTTAATAAAAAAAGGAGATTTCTTTGTCTCAATAATAGCCGGGTCCATTCCTGCTAGCACAGATTCTCTCCGGAGTACACTAGCGCCCTTTTTTCACGCGATCAGTCCGGACGCAAGGGATTCCCCTCGAGGAAGGGTCTTTTTTTATCTTCTACACTGTAGCTCTAACATATGTACTCCATGTACATACTTTACGTTATTTTCATAGACTTAATATCAGAAAGTAATCCTTAAGACATTCACCTATTTCATATCCATATCAAAGTGAGAAATAAACCTCAAGTCAACAATTTGGAACAGCCAACCGGGAGACTCATGTTTTTAGCTGTCAACCACGTTCTGCTGACACCTTGTTTTCGCTCTCTTTCGCCCTTTTTTTTATCTTTCTGTTCGGTTTTTTAATATATGAGTCTGTTTTTATTATACCATTCCTTTCCCCAGGCTGGCTAGACCCGCGTCGACTCCATTCCCCGAAGAGAAAAATCAATCTTATTTACTTTCTTTTTTTGCTGGGCTTCTCTGTTCAGAACTCCTAACTCTCTTATTATAACACCTCCCCCGCGCTTGCTATCGCCTCCTACGCCACGGTCCTTTGCCCATCCCCCCCACATCTCTCTTCTCAGGTTCACTTCTTAGTGTCTCAACTTTTACCTCTCATTTCTCCCCGAGACCATGTACTACACGCGCTTTCGTCGACCGTGACAATCTCACTTCCCGTATCCTTTTTCTGGGGTTGCTTCTTTGTTTCGAGAGTTCTCGAGTCCTTCCAGAAATTCCCCTATTTCTCGGGAGAACCTGAGTCCCCCGACTCTCCTTCATATACCGATCGCGAGCCCCAGCGATCGACGATCGCCCCTCCTGGATTCTACCAGCCCTTCCGGGGCCGTACCTGGCGATCGAGATTGGGCGCTGAGCGGATCATCTTTCGGCCAGCTCACTAACATCAACGACCCTGAATTCTACGTAGGAGTGAGGGACCCATCCGCAAATCTGGCGACCCTAGCAGTGCCATCGGGAATGGGGACGGCGTTAGACGCGCTGTCAGCCCCGCCGTTGAACATTCGTCGTCCAGCGGCCCCGACGTTACCCAGCTTTGAGCTCCCACCACCGCCGTTTACGTTGGGTGCTGCACCCGCACCTGCAGCACCCAAGTACGGAAATCCCACACATCCCCCAATCTCCCACGCGCCAGTGAACGTGAGCGTGGGGAACCTGCTAACGCCACCCGCCACGATTCAAACAGGGGAGCAAGCCACACCCCAGCCATTGGCTCCATCAACAGGCGCGTCCTCCGAGCTGCCGCCGGCATATTGGTCAGGGGCCAATCCATACGGACAGTCCTGGGCATCCGGGGTAAACCCATACCCAGCCCGAAATTCCTTTTCGCCGTCATCCGGCATGCAGCGCTCATCGGTAATACCACCGCCGACGACGGATGGGTTGCCGCACCCATATGAAGGCCCGACATTATCTTACCAACCTTTACCCGCCCCGTCAACCATGCCTCCCTCTGCTTCACAACCTGCCATGGCCATGTACCCTGGAGGACCCGCTACATCGCCTGCCCCACTTCCATCCAATGATCCATATGCCCCCAAACACCAGCATATGTATGCCGCTTCTCCTCCCATGCATGGTCCCCACCAGGCCGGCTTCTCTCCCATGTATGGCCCCGCCGGGCTTGGCATCCACCCTCCAGGGCGAATGCCTGTTCATAGTCCACCAGCCGGACAGCCGCCGTTGGGATATCCCCGCCAGCCGTGGCCCTCATATTCTCTCCCGGCAATGAACGGTCCCGTCATGACCAACGTGCACAGCCCCGGTGGGCCCATGTCGATGATGGGTGGAATGCAGCCGGGGCTTCTACCGGGATTCAACAGTGGACATGTCGCCAGCTCTCAACATCTCTATGGGGGTCATCCACCACCGCATGGCATGTCCGCCCCCGCGGCGGACCGACCTTTCAAATGCGACCAGTGTCCCCAGAGTTTCAACCGCAATCACGATCTCAAGCGCCATAAACGTATCCACTTGGCCGTTAAGCCTTTCCCTTGCTCGCACTGTGACAAGAGCTTCTCGCGCAAGGATGCTCTTAAGGTATGTTATCTGCAATTTAGTGTAACAACTGCCGCATTACTGACTTTCGCCCACAGCGACATATCCTTGTGAAAGGCTGCGGAAAGGATGGCGATTCGGACGCGAACAGCAACCAACCAGGGGTCGATATCAAGGGTGAAGGGCGGAGTGAAGGCGGCAGCCCTCTTCTCAATGGACGAGTTTGAACGTGTTCCGGTCTTCCCGCCTGTGACACTTTCGTCCTTGCTGCGACGTAACTTCCTCCAAACGTTCACCCTCATATTTATGAGGTGTGAAGTTTGAAGACATGTATGTATCTACCGAGGCATTGGGAGTCGGGGTTCTTACCGGATTTTACTTTGATTTATGTTATTTTTTTGAGCTTCGGCGAAGGGTTTGTGATTTGGGCATCATGGGAAGGTCTGATCTCTGCTTTTTTTATCTCTTTTTCTCTATCCGGATCTATGTTTACTATATGTGCTTATCGGACTCATGTGTGACGTGTGTACCTATCCTGTTTCTCTGTGATTTAAAGCGATTAAGCGAACTGTTAATGGGATGGGCAACGTCGGTATATAAACACCCCTTCATCAATTATGATATGGAAGATATCCCGATCAACTCCAACCGAAGTACATTAATCGTCTTAATTTATGGTAATATGACAGCTTCCAAGCCACATTTCGTTACTCAACTATTATTGGCTACTCATCTGCCTGTCGACGCTTGAAATGGGGAGCTCGTCAGACCTATGGCTGATTTGGCTGAACCGCCATCTCAGCCACTTACTAGCTAGCCACATGGTTGTCCCATTCTAATTCAACGACGGGCGTGGGTGAATATAGGTATTAAGATGGATTTGTATATACTGAAATGAATGATATGGCCTCCTATTTTTGTGTTTTCGGGGAAGATGATATAGATCCCCATTGTAGTCTGAGATAGGCATCATTGCGTTGGCCCCCCACGAAACCAAGGAACTATCCTCTGTACAAGCAAAAGATCGCCAGTTCTCCGTGGGATCCCGCTACATTCCCCCTTTTGCTATATACATATGTATCTGTTGGCTGGCCGAATGGGGTCAGCTCGGCTGCATCCCGGCACCTTACACAAGTCAGATATATCCTGCTTCGTTTCTCTCTCTTTTCCCTCTTCCTCTTCCTGCCCACTCCGATTGACAGTGGATAGACAACATTCTTCTTCCGTCGATATCCATCATTGAGTAGCATTCTCTATATATGTATTCCACCATGCTTCCGCTACTCTTGCTATGTGCTACGTTAGCACGACCTAGTCAGCATAGGGCCAACGAGAAACCCTTGCCATATCTCCTCCGTGCTGGCAGGGACTCTCGCAGGGGGAGCTACCAGATCCCTAGCGCTGTACAAAATGGAACTAGCAAGGCTCGGTTTGACATCCCAACGCCGGAAACCACTCTTGACATAGAGACCCTCTTCATGTTAGATGCACCTCAGATAGATTTTATTAATGGGTCCGTGTACGACTGGTGGTATTTCGATGCCATCTCGGAGACCAACCCCGATGATTCCCTAGTCGTCACATTCTTTTCCTCATCCGCGGAAGCATTTCCATTCCTCGATGCCAGCGAAACCTCCGTGCTCAACGTTTGGTTATGGGCTTCGTTCGCCAATGGCACCGTATTTGCCGATTCTGTCCCGGCGTCTGTGGCGACCGTGACTGGCGCAGGTGTCGCGGGCACTAATAGCTCTGGAAAGTGGTCCTCCACAGGATTTAGCTGGGCTGCTCTCACAGAGAACCTATTGCAATATGAGATTATCATCGCGTCCCAGAAGCTCCATGTCGAAGGGCGGCTCACCTTGACTTCGGTAAGTAGTGTCTCGGATCGCAGGAACAGACAGATCGCTAACGTCGCCCAACAGCGAGTACCGTACCATCTGCCCTGTGGGGTTCAAGCGGAACGAACTGTGCTTGAGATTGCGCCTCATATCGGATGGGTCAATCTCATACCCGACGCCGTGGGTGAGGTCGACATGAAGATCCATGGGTCGCCGATGAAGTTCCGAGGGCCTGGGTACCATGATAAAGCAAGTGACTTGACCGCCTGTGGGCACCTGAACAGAAACATCGTGAACCTTCAACTGACGAAGTCATAGAATTGGTCTGATCGACCTTTTACAGACTCTGTCCAGAGCTGGTACTGGGGCCACGGCCGTCTAGGTCCATACTCGATCGTATGGTTCAGTTACCTCGCCATTAATGACCCGACCAACGCCGCGTACGTGAGCAGCTACATTGCCAAAGATGGAGAGCTGCTCGTATCGGCCTGTGAGCCCTCCATTCTCACTGTGAGGCCGATCGGTAGTCCAGGGACCACTGGTGGGCGATACCCGCCACGCATGGGTGATATACCGGATGGATTCCGATTGGAATATGATTTGGGGGAGGATAATGGTCAGTTGAAAGTTAATGTCTCCGTGAGAACGTCGGTCGCGGGGAATGGAAACGATTACATGCGATGGACAGGAGACATGGTTGGGGAGCTAATTGAGTCTGAGAGCCAACGACTACAAAAGGCCGGTTGTAGCCTCAAAAGAGAAGATTCACCTCTCGTTGGTGTTGCGGTTTTGGAGCAATTCGTTATGGTGGAATAGACGATGTCGAAGACGAGCATTATCACAGAAAGTCATAATATGTTCAATGATATACTCACATATAGTATATGGGAAAACACAATTCTATTAGCTTGAATATTTGCCAGCTCATGTGGAAGAAAGAAATGGGAGCATCTCGTAGATACTCGCGCGACGCGAGAAGAGAGACGGGAAGACAACATAATACGCATTAGACAGGATGGGGAAAGAAAATGAACGAAAATACCCAAAACACTACCGAGTAGTCTGCTTAGATTTCCACTCTGCGACCAGACCCCGGTAATCCTCAGTACCATAGGGCTGGAAGCATCGGGCCAGCAAGCCTTGCTTACGCTGTGGCGACAGACCTAGTTCTCCCAGCATCAAATCAACATAAGGGATCGCATCAAACACGAAGTCGGGGTTTCGCCGCCCGAATCCTCCAGGGTAGCGATATTTGCCGAATTCAGTAAACAGAGCTGTCTCCCAGGCAAGGTCGATTTCTGAGATGTCTTCCGTCTTGAGGTCAGACGCACCACGCACAGCGAGTGGGCAGCTTTCGCGTGTAGTTGGGGTTAGATCTCCTTTGAAATAAGCCGAGATCCACAGTGCCTGGGTCTGAGCGATTAGGGTTGTGTTGATGGTCATGGTGATACCCATGAATGCCAGAGAGCGTTCCTTCACCAGCGAAAGTGGGACCATAAACTTCGCCATCCGGAAGGGGTGCGGCACAGCCGCCTCGGACTGCGCGGTTAGCGGGGTGTAGTTGGGGTTCGGCTTTGGTTGATCACGCAGTCGGGGGAACCGGCGCAAAATCTCTTCATCCGCTGCCTTCACCAGGTTGTCGTTCAGTGGGTCCGCACTCCAAGGGAATCCCAACTCGCGGTCAATGCCTTCCGGCAGGAACTTTAGGTTTGGAGTGCAACGCCAGCCTGTCGAGCAAATCAGCGCTGAAGATGGCAGCGTATCACCCGATGACAGATGAACAGTGTGATCCGAGAGACGCTCAAGATCAGCGATGTGCACCTTGATAGTGCCATCCTTGACCAAGTCAAAGAAATTGGTCGGATAGTTCAGAATGCTAAGCGAGGAAGCGATCCAGAATGGGCTCACCCAAGGCTTCAGCTTCTTCATCTCCGGGTGCTTGTCGTAACCGTTCAACTGCACGACATCATCGGCCAAAATAGCCCAGAACGCGTCCACAATCTTACGACCCAGCCAAGTACCATGCAAGAAGCTGCGAACGCCAGTATACCCGTCAGCTTCTCCCCAGATACACGGACTGAACCAGGTCAGCAGGCGTGTCGTGACCAGCTTTTCCAGCCACTTTTTCAAGGGCGTCACGTAGGGAGGCGCCATCCAAATAGGTCCATGACCGGACTCACGGATAATCCAGTCTACTTTCATACCTGCCGTTGCGCAGGCATAGGCCGCGTCCCAGGCTGACTTGGTCCCGCCGAAAACGGTTGCGCGCTCTCCGGATTGCAGTACTGCATCTTGATGCTGCAGCAGATCGCGACAGTGGAAAAGTGGCGCATTGAAATACTCCTGGCCTTCGAATGTAGGCAGGTATGCCTGTGACGTGATGCCGGTGGCCACGATCATCTTCTTGGTATCGATTGTCGTCGTATCCGCTCCGTGCGACACGCTCAACTGCCATGTTCCGTCCAAATTGTGTCGCGCGCTCTCCACACGGTGTTCCAATCGAATGCGATCGGCGAATTTGAAGTGCTGTACATATGCCTCCATGTATTTTTGAATTACATGACCTGGAATATGTTGTCCAGGTTTGATACCAAAAGTCGCTTCGTCCATTGGGAAGTCGCTATACTCATACGTGCCCAGCATATTGTTCGATTTGAGGCCTTTGTATAAACGGTGTTTAGCCCATACTCCGCCAACGGAGCTAGCAGCTTCCAGCAACAACACATTGTGACCGGGATTGACCTCGCGATAGGTCTTGATGGCAGAGAGCCCGCTCCAACCTATTGGTAGCCAATACTTGTCAGCGAAATAGCTCGCGACGGTGAAGACTCAACTTACCTGCGCCTACCACCACAAGATCCATGGTGTCCATTTTGGAAGGGTCCCTTGCTTTCGTCTATTATTTTCCTTGGAAGGGGTAGAAAATAACCGGATTGCGCCGACCAGGATTAATGCACGAATTTATGTACAAGCAAACAAACACACACGGCACCGGATCGCTGGAGACGAAGGAATGAGCGGCAACTAAAAGTATTAGCGTCAAGGTACTTGTTTTTTTGGGGGGGGTTTTAATTTTAGCCCTTGCTGTTGTAGGGAGGATGGAATGGTGGGCCTATTAAATTAGCTCACCTAGAAAAAAAAACCTACTTTGACAGTTCTCACAAACTTTAGCATGGCCTTCGATGAGAAATGGAAGAGAACCCGAGACATTTAAAGGGCCAGATACATTAATCTGGTGATTCTATAATGGTATGATGGCTCACCACGAACTACCCGTCGACCTAATCCTAGACCCTTGACCTATCTGGGTAACAGACTACTACTTGGCATGCAATCACTTTGTACTCCGTACCGAGACTCTTCAGTGGCACCAGGGGCTCTTCTGGAGAATTCAAATCAGCACTGAATATTTTAGCTTTGCTCCGTCGTTTGACTATCTTAGCCCTGCTATCAAAGCGTGGCCAGACCCGCGGGGATCGACAGTTCTTCCCCGTTCCTCTAACTGTTACAACATAGGTACTCATCTCGTTTATAAGGGTAGGCGGGTTGCGAGGTGTCAAAAGTCAACAATACCCCACTGTTTATTTTAGATAGTTTCTACTGTGGAAACAGCGTGGCCTTTGGATTTATCAATTTTGAAAAAAAGAAAACAAAAGTCGGGGTCAACAATATGCAAGTTGCCATTCCTCGGTCGGTATCTCAACCCGACTATGGGATGTCGCCCAATGAAATAGATTGATCCCATGCGAGTTATTGAGAATACAATATTGTACAAACAAGGCTCACATTTGCCGCGGCTTGGGGAATCGGATGAGGAAAAGAAAAGCCGAACTGCCTGTTATTCGTAGAGATGACCCGCTTTTGCATCCACCAACTCGTTGGCAACGGGAATTTCAACAAAGTCTTACCGTTTGATGTGAAACATATTTTGTACTTTGAGGGGTTCTGCACAAGTTAAGGTTAATAGGTAAATGGAAGCTGTGAACCCCAATCCGGACCGGACGCCATGGTCGAATTCAGTACTTATGATATCCCCTAGACTCATTTGGCGCGTTACTGGAAAAAAAAGGTCTTGATCGGTTGATAATAATAACACTGGCCTAAGAGCCCCTGGTCGCAAATTCTCTGTTACCTCCATATCCTCGGAGTAATTTCTAGTTTGATCAACAATCAAACCAACCAAAAAGAGAATGTGGATCAGAGAAATCGATACATACATACTCCATACCTGCCCTTGCGACAGTATTGTATGACCTATTCCCCTAATGACGTATAATTGGCCAAAATACGCAAGCTTTATGCAACTGCGATACTCTGTATGTTGGTCTCTGAGCTGGTCCGTTTGCACGTCATATCACAGGGAAAGTCAAAGAAATTCCCGATATTGCGGTTCATTACTGTTTCTCAAAATTGGCCCAGTTGATATTGTGGCTGAGTGTTCTACTTGTGTGTAACCGGAAAAAAATCTCGGGTTAGACAAAGTGAGTTCTATCAGGGTATTCTGTACGGAGTACGGAGTACTTGGTCAAAAAATCGCCGTCTACTCCGATCATTCCCGCAACGGGGAATGTCATATCAACTTAGGGGAGGTGTGGACCTTTTGACTACCGGTTTGCACTTCCAGGAACCAGTGAACTGGGAATGGAACAAACGGCGCTCTCGACCTTAAACTGCTCCCCGGTTGAAGGACCCATAACCCGCGTTCCAGCACCGAAGGTAGATCGCTATCCAATGAGACATGTCGATGTTTCCACTCTTCAGGAATCCAGACCTGTCAAAAATTCTCTTCCGTGTCTCTCCATAATAGACGTCGTTTGCAGTTAGTTTGACGGGCGCCACAATAAGTAGGCCCGCCATCGGACATTTGAGATCGATCTTGTCCTTGCTTTTTTTTTCCCTGTTGGTGTTGATAAGTCGACCGAGGAGCGGGCTTGGTTCTTTATCCGGGCTGATTCCAATAGCAACGAGCAAGACCAAGGGAAATCACTGAGCTTCTCCCACTCGTTTCCCCTCCGTGCAATTCAATTTCTCTTTATCTGAATGTACACCCTGGGTTGAATGGGCTTTTCCTTTCATTTTGATGGCTTATAGCAGAAAGATATTACTACAACTTGGCAACTATGGATGAGTTTAATACAGAAGCTTTCACCCTTTTGGGGGTAGCCATTGTTGTCATTGGCCTACGAATGACCGCGAGATGGATTATGGTTGGCCCAAAAGGTTTCCAAGCTGATGATTATCTAATGCTGGTGGCGTGTGTGAGTTGAATTGGAAGCTGTGGTCTCTGTACTTTCATCTTGCTAATCGATATGGGGTGTAGGTGGTGTATGGGCTAGAAACCGGTGCTGCGTACATGGTCGGCGCGTGGTTCATGGGCCTTGCCAATAACGCGATGACGGATGAACAGCGAAAAAACTTGTCGCCTGATTCGGAAGAATATCGTCTGCGTGTGGGTGGCTCTAAGGTCCAGGTGGCTGGCTGGTCATTATACACTCTGTTATTATGGTTGCTGAAAACATGCATGGCCATTTTCTACTCTCGATTGACGTGAGTTCCGATACCACCGTATCTACTATTGTGTCCATCGTTACTGACTTATATCCTACCATCTAGCGCAGGCTTAGTCAACATGCGAATCCGAATCCATATCGCCTACGTTCTGATCGCCACGACTTATATTGCTACGATCTGCTCGATCCTCTTCGGATGTCATCCAATGAAGAAAAATTGGCAGATACATCCAGACCCCGGGAGTACGTTATACCTTATCAACGGCTTGCCACCTTCAGAGACTATGCATCTGACTATTCGCTAGATTACTGTCAGCCCGCTGTGTCCAAGATTGATATCTATGTGACCGTGGTACTTAATGTCGCTACCGACCTCTATCTCATTAGTATTCCAGCACCGGTAAGCCTCTTTCTAAACATTTGTGTGGAATATCGCTGACAGTACATGCGTCAAGATGCTTGTCAAAGCCCGACTAAAATGGCGGGAAAAGCTCGAGCTCCTGATTCTGTTTAGTGGTGGCCTGTTTGTCATGATGGCTGGTATTCTACGCTGTGTTCTCATCTTAACAGTAAGTTGTACTGAGAGATACTCGCTGCGATAACAAAATCTAATAGTCCATTAGGCGGGCGCGAATGGGGCTCAACAAGCTGGCAGCTGGGCCTGCCGCGAGACTTTCGTCGCCGTCGTCATCGGCAACATTCCCATGATATACCCTTTGGTAAGACGATTCACAAGACGTGCCGGCCTATACATTACATCAAGAGGTGGCTCACAGAGCTACCCTGGCTACCCTCTATCAGATGCAGAAGCCGAAACTGGTGGCAACGGGTATGCTAAACGCAAGAAGTTCCGCCACCCGCTATCAATTCCAGACACTCAATGGAATACAACCAGCGACGAGGCAATGATCTTACCAACCTCACGACAGCAACCGCCCACATGCACCGCTGGCGACGGCGACTGGGACTCCCGCAGCCAGGGCAGCCAAGGTGGAATAAAGGTTGTTCATGAAACAATCATTCACAGCACCGAAAAGTCTCAGCTGTAGTGCGAAGAGTTTCAATATAGAAATCTTGCGGACACTTTTCACTTCCCTCATTTTCGGTTGACCCTGTGGGTATTTGAGCGCTGGCATGTCTTATCATTTAATTTAGTTCTTTTTGTACATATCTTTATACCCACCATCGGCTCGGCTTTTGTTCTTTCCTGCTTTAATTACGAATACAGAATCCATCACGGAGGGCTACATCATGTTTCATCCAAGAAATCCGTAATTCGACAGACTAATACCCGAACCTGTTTCAGATCAACAGGTTCTGAGACGGATTGTGATTTGAATACATTTTAATCCATGGACATCGTTACACAAAATTTAGTTTTGAGCGGATGCAAATTTCCATTGACTTGCTGTAGCAAATTTGTCAAGTCTCGCATCAAGGGGTGGGAATTCGAAACCGACTGAAGTAGGTATGCAAGGAGGATATTTACTGATTGTGAAGCAAAAGGGAGAAAGAACCATGGATGTTGACTACCTAGGAAGTAGGAAACTAGTTCTGTAGCAAACAATAGGAGGCCTTGGCAGCCACATCTATGCAGGTGGATGGATAGATTAGTTAGGTCCACATAGTTACTAATTGTACTTTCTGCACTGCTTTGAGGTCTCAAGGGTCCTTGTGGTTTGTTTCTCTCTCTTGTCTCTCTTCTCCTTCATTCCCTACCTCCTTCCATAACGGGATATAGTCTATCTCAGATCTGCAAATTTAAGGTCTAACCACGTACATAATGTCACCTGCAAAGGGGTCCGTGGAGCAATGTGAGTTGAATTAAATATGCCGGAAATGCGAGTTTGAATTGAACCTGCATTGGAATATTTCAATATGCCTGTCATACAAAGCAGCAATATGGAACACCACGATGATCCAAAGAAAAGGGCATAAGTGATTGAATATTCATCTCTAATACTCCATTTCATAGGTTGCTACTTTGTAGTTTTGTAAGGAGTTGTATATAATCACATCTTCCGTTTGCTGTGTAATATTAACGGATTAAGAGCTCTATGCGAAGATTTGAAGAGTCCATGCCCTCGCTTAAACCCGACAACATACGTAGTCTCCAACTAGTTCCATTATTGACATATTTATCGCTGGTCCTTGTTGAAGAGCGGGTTACTGTAGAAATATTTGAATAGATTTTCCGTATCCGAATGGTCGCCTATATCTAGTCACAATGGAATAGAATAAAGGGTTGCATGAAGTACAACATACAACATAGCCGCGCCTCATGCATACTACACGAGGACTCACCACCAAACAGACAGTGGTTGCTACGCTTGAAGCTAAGCGGAAGAAGAAGCCCAGCTGCCCATGAGGGGAGCTGCGCTGCTGCGTTACCATAGACCTAGCACGCCGAATTTAAGGGTATGATGTCATCGAATTCAGCCCTGGGGCCCTTCCAAGGTTCGAAATCTTCAGTGGATCAAGCCCATGTGAGCCAAACAATTCTGAAAATATTAGATATTTGCTCCAGCAACTCTTTGCATCGGGAGTTAGCTCAATTTGGGAAATTCTAGGGGGAAAAGGCCGTGGTATCACTCGGGCTGCCCATCTCGTCAACCAGGAGGGATTGTGGACATGTGGATCTCCCACTGTTTGATCACTCTTCAGTGGAAAAGTATGGGTAGGTAAGTGACGTAACGTCCTGGAAGCGGGTCGCGCATAAAGCAGGCCTGTGGACTTATAAGTGTTTAGCATCTGAATCCCTCAACACATTCCAAATTTCACAAGCCCGAACCGGATTGTGCATCAACATTTCCCACAATGACCATCAAATTCACCGTATACAAGGGCACCAAGGATGGAATCAAACAGGCGGAGACCGAGCGGGGGGACCTCAAACGAGACGAAGTCCTAGTACGAACCACACATTCGGGACTGTGCGGCACGGATGTCCACTACAAGTCAGCCGAGATGGCCCTTGGCCATGAGGGAACGGGCGTGGTGGAAGCAACTGGCCCAGACGTGAAGATTTTGAAGAAAGGCGATCGTGTGGGTTGGGGTTATGAGCATGACTGCTGTGGCTTTTGCAAACAATGCCTCACCGGCTGGGAGACATTATGCAGTGAGCGGAAAATGTACGGCCTGAACAATCTCGATCAGGGATCTTTCGGTACCCATGCTGTGTGGCGCCAAGCATTTTTGTTCAAAATTCCAGACAACATGAGCAGCGAGGATGCGGGACCATTGATGTGTGGTGGATCAACTGTTTTCAACGCCCTCCGTGTTGTGCAGGTCCGTCCGACCGCTCGCGTTGGTATTGTCGGAGTAGGGGGTCTGGGGCATCTGGCTATCCAGTTCGCCGCGAAGATGGGCTGTCAAGTCGTGGTCTTCTCCGGCACAGGCAGCAAAAAGGAGGAGGCGATGAAGCTGGGGGCTAACGAGTTCTATGCGACGAAGGGCGCGAAGGAGTTGAAGATCAAAGCTCCTATTGACAATCTCATTGTGACGACCAGCAGTCTGCCAGATTGGTCCCTCTACTTGAGTCTCATGGCTCCCAGTGGTGTCATTTCGCCTCTGTCTGTCGATTCAAACGATCTCAAAATCCCATATATGCCACTGCTCGAGAATGGCCTTCGGATCCAAGGAGGCATCGTGGGTTCGAGACAGGTCCACAAGGATATGCTTGAATTTGCCTCATTCCACAATATCAAGCCTGTTAAGATGATCTTCCCTTTGACATTGGATGGTGTCAAACAAAGCTTGAAGACCTTGGAAGAAGGAAAAATGCGTTATCGTGGCGTTTTGGTGGCACCCTAGAGCATCCGTATGTGTTCAGAAGGTCCATTGGGTGTTTCTAATCCAAGTGAAGAATTTGGGAACCCAAGTCTGTATCGCCGTGGAAGATCACGTCCGTGATATTATTGTAGAGCTAACACCGGAGCTTTAGAGCTAACACCAGAGCTTCTTAAACATATTCACAGATCTAAGAAGGAAGTCGAAGCCTTAGGGATCGTCCACGAAGACCTCCGGCCTGACAATGTCCTTTAGAATAAAGAGCTGGGGCGGGCGTTAATCATCGACTTTCACTCTACATTGAGATGTCGGCTAGTTCTAAAGCGACCACGTGCAAAGCGACAATTGTTACGAACAGAGCAGGAGACGCAAAGCGTCTACATGTTTTATGAGCGAAGTGGTGGCTTTCTTTATATTCTAATAGCGATTGCATATTGTATGATAATGAAGCGTTCCTACCACTAGCACGGCGCATTTTAAATCCCCTCGCGAGCACGAACATGTCTTTCACAATGCCATCTACTCCTAGACCACGTTAGCATCGGGTCGCCAGACAAGGTGGAATTTGTCAGTACTTAAGATAGTCTCCTTAAGGCTTCTTCACCTTTCTCATCCCAATCTGGATACTGTCTTAGATTACACAAATCCGTCCAAAATGCTTTGGCATCTTCATGTGCCTCGTCATGTACGCCTAAGCGCTCTCGAAGCAACCTCTTCCATTCGACATCCATATATGTAAATCCAAAAGAGGCCGAGACATATTCATACCAGATAAGAAAATAGGCAGCGTACTCCCAGTCGAGTATACTAACTCCCTTCCCATCATGGACCATGATGTTGGCCAAGTTGAGATCGCAATGAGTGAGGACATAGGGCTCGCATTTCGATAGTCGCTTCTTCAAGTTCTCGAACACATTTTGAGGGAGATGGTGGAGATTAAGGCTGAGGGAATCCCAGAGCTCTTGATCAGAGCGAAAGGGCCCGCGGGGTTCAAGGTCCAAAAACAATAAGCCTGGGTAGCATGGGCTATGATCGACTCATTGGGTGGAGGTTGACATGAGAGCTCGAAGCTGCTTACGCACTTGAACCACTTGATCGGCGATAGCTATTTTCTGGGCTCTGACAACAAAGGCCATGCCTCCTCGAGTGTTTGGCCGCCTATACGTTCGTTCAGAACAAAGTATCGCCCATCGCGATCGATCCAGTCACGCAGAACTTTTGGAACGGGAATGTTGCTATAGGTTGCCAGGTGGTTCAGTGTTTTGACTTTGACTTTTGCTTTTGGACCCTCGTCCGGGCGGTCTTTCAAAATCACATCAGAACCGATGGACCAGACGCCCCTTTTAGAGGCACCGTAGAAAAGTCTGAGGTGACTAGAATAATGGCACTGTTTTTGTTTGCCGAATGTCCAGCCGCATGCGATACAACCATTGTGGGATGATTCGTCCACTGCGGTTAGAGAGTAAAAAGAAGTATATTTGTTAAAAAATATGGATTTTGACCGAAGAAAAGAGGAAGGGGAAAGGGTTCAAAAACGGAGGCCCTGATTCTATGTTCACTGCCATGACTGCAGCAGGAGACAGTTGTGAGATGGTATGCTACTTGCAAGTTGTACTCAAAGAGGTAAGCCAACCCATCCATTCTCACAGTTCAAATTTAACGTCTGGTTTCATGTAAAAGGTGTTCTGCGACTTGAGGAGCGTCCGAGTGGCGTTCAAATTGTCCAAACTGAACTATCAGCTCTGATGGTTTAGTGTAGGTGTAAAGTGAGAAATATATGTGCCCATCGAGAATCTCTTACGTCTTGTATCTTGAATATTTGAAGAATGCCACGGTCTGCTATCCCGAACTTAAGCTCCGTGTCTCCCGTCCGTGGGGTCCCCACACGGGCTCATCTGGAGCCCATTTGTGAGTTTGGGAGCTTGCGTTTCCCCTGTAGTCATAACTCATCATGGGCAATTATATCATTTGAAATATAAGTTATCACTAGAACTCCCAATTCTTAGTTGAATCAACCCAGAGAGCAAAAAGAGGAAGAGAGGGAGATGGGAGGGAGAGCTTACCCAGCCGAGGTCGGCGAGCTCCGATCACCTCATATTAATCAGCTTGACGTTGAAACATCAAAACATCTTCACCCCGCCATTTCCAAAATTCCAACTTCTACCTCGTATCTTTCCTCTCTAATATTCACATTTATTCCAATATGACTACACTCAAGGCCGGTGACTCGTTCCCTAGCGACGTTGTCTTCAAGTGGGTGAACCCCCAACCCCGCAAAGAATGACGCGCTGATCCCTCCAGGTACATTCCATGGAGCGAGGAAAGTGGTGAAATGACCTCCTGCGGCATCCCTATCAACTACAATGCCTCCCAGGAGTGGGCCAACAAGAAGGTCGTCTTGTTCTCAGTTCCCGGTATGTTAATGTTGATGTTATCCCTCTAACTGAAGTCGGAATGTTAACGTGCATGGGAACCAAGGTGCCTTTACCCCAACCTGCTCCGTCAACCACGTGCCAGGATATATCCAGAACCTGCCCAAGCTCCGCGAGAAGGGCGTTGACATTGTCGCGGTCGTTGCTTTCAACGATCCCTTCGTGATGAGTGCCTGGGGCAAGGCGAACGCAGTTCGTGGGGATGACATCGTGAGCACAACCCCGCTTTGCACATTTCTGGAACTAGTATTGATTTCGGTGAATAGCTTTTCCTCTCGGATCCCGATGCCAAGTTTTCTAAGAGCATTGGCTGGGCTGATGAGGCGTCGGGCCGCACTGGCCGGTATGCGATCGTTATCGATCACGGTAAGGTAGGCTATGCCCAAATCGAGACCGAAAGGGGTGTTGTCAAGGTATGGAATTTCATCCTTCGTTTCCGATCCTTTTGGCTGACAACTCAATTTGTCTACAGAAATCTGGCGCTGATGCCATTCTTGCTTCCCTTTAAATACATAAATTATAGAATACCCTCTGATCACTCCAAGTTCAATTACGAATGTTATTTAGAAGCATCCATGGATGTTTCTTTGTGAGACTACGGGAAATACAGAAGCAAAAATTCGATTACTATCTACAGTCTGAATCAGTGCATTTCGCTAAGAATAATTCAAAGCTTCGGCATGACACCTATTCAGAACTTGAATTGAGAATGAAGGGTGGGAGGTCTGTTGAATCATCTAAACAGTTGAAGTTCCAAGTCTCGCGTCAATATAACTATGAAAAATAAAACGCAGGTCTATGTAATGCAAATCTTTCAGGTCGTATCTATCATCGAATCAAACGCTGGGAATGCAAGCCCGAAGGTTGCTAACCGGGGGATAGAGAATCAAATATGCGACAGAGCACGGTCGTGAAGATGCAACTCCAACCCAGCACTGACACAGTCTATATGCAAAGGCTCAGCAGCTTGGTATATTTTGTCCTTGATCACAGCTTCAAGTACTTCCGGTCCAGAGTTGGCAACATGATCTTCGTCATCCGACGAGACATTTTGGAATGCACCCTCGATATCGACACGCTTGAGTCGAGGGAAACGAGTCCGGCGATTTTTGATCACTGTCTGTAATTGAGAAACCAACATTCCCAGATATCGCTCCTGGCATCCTTCAATGTAAAGGGTCTCAAGTGACGACGGGAGACATTCCATGAGAGGCGTGGTTGGTTCGTTCTGGTATCGAATATCCAGAAGATTTGGCAGTCTTACACGCACTTCTTGTAATACAGTGAAATCAACGAGAGAGCCGAACCACTCGTCGTGGGATTGATTCAACCCAGCAGCGGTGAACGGGTAATGGCTGCCATAGTGGTCCAGCCACAGTGTTTGTAGGCTCTTTTTGCTGTGAGTCAGAGAGCGATGGAAGGCGGATGGTTGGTAGCCATGCGAAAGCACGTGCGAGTCCGAGTGCTGGTATTTAAATGACTTCAGGTCTGCACATGAACTGACCAACGTCTCCATGCCATGGTTCCCACTACTTGCGCGTAAATCAATATCGGTGATTGAGGAGAAGCCAAGGCGGGGCTTCTCATCCGATTCCTCGGAGGTTGGGGTAATGGTGCTCGGGTCCACTACCGAGTTGGCTGTGATTGCACGAACAGATGGCAGTTGGAAAAATGGCAGGAGTAGTGTTGATGATACTTGAGTCTCACCTCCCGCATCATCCAGGTGCTCGCTATGATCGAGATCTTCCCGATGATGCAATAAGACCTCGCGTAGGTGGCGGAAGGGTTGGACGGAAAACGGCTTTTCGCAGTTCACGGCCCTTCGCATGATCCGGTCCAAATAAGGGGAGTTTGTCGTATAGGCCAGTGAAATCTTCCTGAGCTGACTTAACAATGGGAGAATGAGTGCAACCCATGCGTCCGCAAGGCCTTGTCCGAGGCGTTGGGCCCACTGATCACTTTCGATTTTTGAGCATGATACAGCATCCAGCCATGCCCTCAAAGCTGCCGAGGCCTGAATTTGGTTGCATTCGTCATCCGATACAATTTTGGCTTGCCAGCCTGTTAGGTCTAGCTCCCGAGCGGCCCGCGCCAGCGCAGGTCGTTTCAGTATGGCATGCAGGAACGAGTTGGCATGTTGCCAATGGTTGATAAACACCTTCTGATATACCAGCGGGAGAAAAAGATCGTGAAAGTGTCGGGAGGCAAAGATGAGGTTCCAGCGGTCTCCTTTCTGTTCCAGCTGCTCTCCAATCAAGAGAAGTACGTCATTAGGCAGTGCCAGCTGCATGATAGCACATTCGTCAAATTACGCCAGACAATGAGTGGAACGTACGAAAATAGGGGAAATATTGAAGGAGAGAACCACCAAAATCAATTGCGGATCGAATGAACAAGTAGGAGTACTCCGTATTTAAAATTAAGATCAAATTTCGATTATCGTCAGTTTGGCCACCGGTGGGTTTCTGGAAGATCAAACTTTGATCTGATCCGGCCAATGCCATATGCCATGGTGGATCTATATCCGCACACTGTGAGAGGCTGTAAATTGTTAGTTTCCACTTTTAAGGAAAAAAAATTCAACATCTCTAAACTCGAGACAATCGCGTTTGTGTGAAGGTTTGCCGAGTGCTCGGATTCTAATTCCGAGTGCGTTCGTGACCCGAATATCGCAGAAGGAAATGATTGTATCGAGTTCTCCACGGTATCTCCCGAACTTCGCACAAATGGGTGGGGAGTGATTAGGCCTGAGGGTCAGAGATTGACAGTCGAAGGGCCACTTAGGTGCATAGATGTGCAGTCATTACGACGATATTCCGCGTCGAAGATGGTGTCCGAGTCGTGGAGTTGCGGGGTTATAGGGTATAGACGATCTCCTCTACATCGCTCCAAAGCGATAGAAGTCACCAGAGAACAGTAAAAACGATGGTATTAAATGTATATCGAGCAGCATGAGAATACAAAAACCGACGATGACGGAGGTGGATCAGCCCGAGTGGGCTCGCGGAGGTGATGTTGGAGCGAGAGAGAACTGGAGATCGGCCCTGAGTCATTGAACATTCTTGGGACGTGGACGCACCTACAAGTGCAAGGCAAGTACGGAGTGGACCATTCTAGCGACAAAGTTCACATGCAAGGACTTCAGCCCGAAATGTCCGGTGTGCCTGGATCGTCATCTTTCGGAGATTTCAACGTTAATATCCGCTCCCGCAGATGCCGCCAGGTTCATCAATGACCATCCGACCTAGACACGTGGCTTCCGAACCTGTACCTTGAGCCCATATATGATTTCTAGTGGAGATGTTGCCCCGTGGTATGTCATGTCATGGTCAAAGTCGCGCCAGCAAAGGGCTCCCGGTTGACGCCAATCTCTTTTCAGCGGCAAAAGTACGCCAGGCTTGATCGCTACACCCTAAAGGATTGCTCGATGCACCCAACCCGGGGATGTTATGAGGCCCAGTAGAAATGCACCGTGGAAAACACCATAGACGATAGTCATTACGTTAATACGATGGACTTAGATAGGTTTGTATGGTCGAGACAACGTCAGGAATTATATGGAATTTAGGAGCTCAGAATACAACAGAGCAGGATCCGTGGTCAATTTACGTGGCAGCACTTGCAGCACTCGCAGCAGCGGCTGTAGCAGCTGAGCCTTGGACGTCTATGAACCACACTTGGAGAGCAGAAATCACCACAAAGATCTCCCAATTTTCTCCCGTGATACCAGTCAGGCCCACGCCCATGAAGGCGAATCGAAACCCTCTAGTCATGCTCCAAGAAGCGTTATGTGCGATGAGAGCCACGATCTCCAACCCATCGCTTGTATAATCCCGATCGCGCTCCTTTCTGCTCCCGCCTGCACTATTCACCGGTCCTGTCAACCGCACCAGTTTCCATCCATAGGAATGACCGGCAGGTTCTTTGAGTTCGTTACCATGGCTCTTACGCAACTCGAATCTCTGGTGTTGTTCACTTCGGTCTCACAGATATTTCGAACGTGTAGCTAGGTGGAATATGCTTCAGCGACCCACCGGGAACGACCTGTGTCACGATGGCGTCTGTATGTTGAGACCCTGGACCAGGGGGAGGGTAATTGCGATGGGCATACTCCTTCCCCACTTGTCGCCCTGAGCCGTTGCCATTACCAGATGCTTATTAGTTGAACCATCATCGTATAGCACGATCGTAGGTTTGTTATTGAAAACAGTCGCGGGGGTTGACACCGCGTACAGCTTTTCTTCCGCGGTCGGTCCAAGGTGGAATATGGTCGTGAGTTCCATTGAAAGTGTCCGTTCATGGCGGTCGGGAATTTGGTGGTTGCAGATGTACTGCTAGATTCAGTATAGGATGGTCTCTCATATTGGGGGGCTTGAGCCGCAGTCTAAGGGTCGTGCTCTGTGTAAGGTGGTGGTAAGGCATCGAGTGGATCACCGTTTGAAATAGGAGATGGCAAATCGGTGGCTGTGCCCATTAAGTGACATTCGCGGAGAGAACACAAAGGGGAAATGAAGAAAATGAGAATTCGCGGGATGTACGGAGTAGCCCCCCACATTTTGACCCCCAACGCCACAGGCGTCAGATTTCCCGATGTTGTTCCCTAGTGATGCGACCTGACCGGTCATTCCAAAGATGATCTCTTGCATATGGCCATATCTGCTTGTTGGTATTTTGATTTTATTAGAAATTTCAATGATGCACACTCGTAAGGGGAAAGAGACCATGCACCAATTCTCTTAAGCTCGCCGTGTCCATTATGGACAGCTCTCATTTTAACCAATGTATAAAAGGCGTTTGTAGTGGGAACACGGGCTCACTGAAGCCTTTCAAGTGCACCTGATATAGTATTTACCTGGAGGCATTGACGCAGAAACATCATGCACAGGCATTTTGCGGGGTCAATGCAGGCAACTCGGGGTCAATGCAACCCTAGTGGCGCCATCCTATGGAATTATATTGAACCACGACACGAGTCATTAGATGTCGTATCTGAATCCAGACGAGTGATTTACTATTCCTTGCGATCTGCACATGAAATGTCCGACCATGGAGTAAGCCAATGTTACATCTAACGGTTAGCTAACGAGGATCCGACCGAATGATTGGTTTTAATGGATACTGTAGCCAGCCATTTAAGAAGCTATAATCATCACATGAGTACACGCAGGCCGTGAGACGCAGAATAAAACTCGATTCATGGAAAGTTATAGCTGAAGGAAGACAGAAAAAGGTGGGCCCTCTCGATAAACGATTGTCGGTCGGATCTTCCAGGACAAACGAAGCATTGGAAAAGATAGAGCTAGAGTGCCACGGGCGTAGTGGCGTCAACTTTCTGCTAGGCTTGAGGCACGGGCCCAAATAAAGCTAGCAAAATTGAGCCGGAGATTCAAACAGTTGGTTGACCACATTTTCATGTTCAGGCCCGGACTGCATGGATTCTCAGCCTCGGAGTAACGGCGCAAGTTGAAAATATCATGTATCACATTTTAGTACCGGCTAGTAAGCGACCCGGAATCAGTTGAAAGAGGCAGAGGGCGGGAAATGAGTAAAAAGCATGCACCTCAGGCCATTGGTCCTTTGATGCGCTCAACTCGGTAGGGAAACGGCTCGCGACATGGTCCTAGATCAAGGATGCCGGCTATCCCAGGACCTGTTAAGGGATACAGGCGGGGAAAGCGACGCATCGTTCCCAATTGTCGCTCCTCGAAGGGGCTCCTCCCGTGTCATTGACGGCCGTTGTAGGATGAAGAAACCGAGTTCTAAACGACCAAATTTTTGGTGGTCAGCAATTGACGTGAGCAAACAGCCCCTTTGTTTCGAGCTTTTACCCCGAGGGTGAAAGTCTCGTGTGGCATGTTTGAACCTGGTAACCGTAGCCTTGATGGCCCACTTGGCGCCTTAATTCGCGGCTTCGCACTCAATCCTCCAGCCCCAACCGCAATGTGGCGCTTTACAGGTGTGCCAAGATAATAGGGGCCCCCTGGGACTTTAGGACGGAGGATCAACTCGGCAGAGCCTCTGGGTACCTAGATAGCAAGGGGTGGTACAACAGTCATCAGCATGGAATTTGCTTCCAGAGTGTCGTGCAAATCATGATTGCTAGTTCGGGTCGTACCATAGACACGAGTGTTTCTTGGTCGGACAAACAGGCCCCGAGAGTGTTGCCTCATGGATGTGCCGTGTCACCGAATCATAGCGGGAGAGGCGTGATGCCAAGGAGAACTGACCGCCAGCCGTCTGGTGATGGCGCCCTCAGTCAAGCCTCTCGCAAACTAAGATTAAATTTTGACATCAACACAGAGCGTATGTCGGCTCTCATTGGGGCGATACTTGGTCCTTGATCCTCTATGGTGGAAAGTTAGTTTCGTATTTTATCTATTTTTCTGTTTTGTTGACAAAGGAGGGGAAATCAGGAGACTCATCCATGGACCTTCAACAAGACCCTTAAACAAAATAGGCAAATGTCCGACAACGCGATGATACAATGTGGCTTGAGGCGACACATGAAGTTACATACAGTACCAGGCTGACCGGCATCTGACCACAAACTAATTTGATATCCAGCTGATGATTGGTGACTTGGCGACTCGGTCGCTTCGAAAGTTGGCTTTGATAGGGTCCAACATATTAAGGTAGAAAAGCCGCGTTTTCTTCGTATCCGCTACTGTGTTTCTTTGGGTACGTCCGGACGGAGAGTCCGTACGGAGTGTTAGTTTGTCCATCCGTTTGTAGTAGTAATGCCTCTATAGTGCAGATATTCCGGGGAACCAACGATACGCTTTTTCCCCGCATCTCCACACCTCCGCGTCTTCCAAGATTCTTTTAGAATTTTTGGGTTTGGCTTTTCCTGTTTCGGCGTTTTACTGTTTTACAGTTTTACTGGTTTTCGTGTTTTCTTTCAGCTTCGTATCTTTAAAATCTCTCACCCTTG